ATGCCTCAACATAATTAGTCTCTTAGTGATGCTTCTTACATGACGAAATTTACACTACTTACATGACAAAATTAGCTAGTGTCATGTGGTTTCGTTTCTTTGAAATGGAACCAGGGGCGAGGCCCCTGTTGATCAGAAATAAATAGTTAGTGGTGCTTCATACCTGATGTAATTACACTACTACAGTGATTAAGTTAGTTAGTGTTGCTTCATATGTGACATAATTACACTACTTATACATGATCAAATTAGTTAGTGCGGCTTCCTACATGATAATTTTGCTTACCCACTACCAAGACATGAAGTCTAAACCAGATTTTGCAAGATTTTGTATATTTCAGGTGAAATCACACTAAAGCAGCCCTCCCTCCTATGGTAATCCAGAAAACATCATTATTCCACTGTGGTTTTGGATCTGCTGATTTTCAGAAATTATAGTGCACTTAAATAACATCGCTATTTCTCTTCATAAAAAAATATAATGCATTTGGATAACATCGTTATCCACTGTGGCTTTGGAACTGCTGGTTTTCAGAAATGGAAATTCATTTAAAGTTTGTAAAGAGTAAGGTTGTTATCAGCACTGCAAATAGTAGTTATGGTCAGGGGTTACGGTGTTCTCAACATTTTTGGTCAGTAAATGGATGTGTATGCAAATAATGGCATATGGTCTCCAGGAAATATACAAAAATATGTGCGCACATATAATTTACGTAATGGAAGGGTTACCGCATAAGATTGCATACCTAGATCCCAAAACATTCACTTCATAATTAATTTGTATAACTGGATAGTCGCCAGCAGGCCATCTCTTTGGAACCACAGGTCCAGCATGAGGTGGATGCGCATCATAGACAGTAAACTTCGTTCTCAAGAAATTCGATCTGTCCAGTAAAGAGGAAATTTTTCTAAATAGGTTTCTGTGCTTCAACATGCGATTTTGATCTTATGTATGTCGCTGAAGGAACTAAGGAAACTCGTAATTTTCAGATATAAATGTCAAAGGATCACCTTAACTTGCCAACGCAGGTTTGACTCCCCTTTGACATATCAGTCTTGTCAAGTGAAATTAGATATTCGGTGCATGTTGGCCTATGGTATTTGCGTGCAGCAAGTAGGAACTTCCCAGCATCAGCTAGTGCTGCACAAAGGAAAAGAAAAACCGTTCATGAACTAGTTAAGTAAAATCCAGACTGCATATGCCCAATGAGAAACGCATACAATCGGTCAGTCCAATGTAGAGGAAATATGTCTGAGTAGCTCGGTGCCTCCGAATGAAACATTTGATGGGAGCATCTCTTGGTCCAGGCTACATGTTAGAGAGGGTAAAGGTAAGTTCAAAGCAAACAAATCTACCAACAAAGCCACATGGTTTATAAAACTTGAATTAGACACCACTGTTCTAAAAATGACAGTCAACTACATCTGACAACATAGCTTTCCTATTAAACCCGTTTGACAATGACCGTTCGAACTGAATAACAGTTGACATTCGAAGTTTCATACTACTAAACCAACTCCTGATTGACCCAGCCAAACAACCAGTCATTATTTACTAATCTGACTTTTCAAGCTTGTTCCAAATACGGACGTATTTCTCGGTCTCAACTACTTTCAGGATTAAAAATAGAAAATAGAACAAACATGACAGAGTAGATGCTACCCAGCCTGAGAACTCTTTTGCACACAGACCTTTCTTTGACGCCTTCCAATCAGGAAAAAAGAAGGGTCGCTACGTTGCGTGAAATGGTGGACATCAAAAGGCACTCACACAATTCTAAGAAAGAAAAAGTGAACACAATCGCCATTATTGAAGTTTGCCAAAAATAGACGTTTCATCGACTAATTGCTCTTGAATTGCTACTAGACAATAGACAATCTCATCAACGGAGAAAAACTTTGGTGACTAATCTGAGAACTTGATATGAACACCAGGCTGCCATGGAGTAGCAGCTGAATGAACAGCAGGGATGGCGATGAGGGGGAGAGAGGGATTCAGAGTTGCGGGGAGCGGCTACCTGCTTGAGAGAGATGGGGAAGGTGAGCCTGCCGGACACCTCGGGGACGCGGACGATCTCCCGGACGACGCCCCGCCAGGTCCGGCAGACGCCGGCGCACGCCACCACGTCGCGGCGGCGCGGCCAGCGCGGCTCCGACGCCTCGACCCGCGCCAGCACCTCCCGCAGGAGCTCCGGCGGCAGCTCCGCCCAGCAGCAGCCCTGCCGCGCGGCCTCCTCCCCCGGCGGCGCCACCGCCGCCACCCGCCGGACGCCGCGCGCCGACGACGGCAGCGGGCGGCGCCGGGCGATGGCGTCCACCTCGCCCCTCATCTCCCGGACCATGCTCCTGAAAGGCATCGCCTTCTCCGCCCGCCCCCCGGCGGCCAAATCCGCCCGATCCCCCGCCGAATCCTGCCAAGAAACCGCGGCTCCAAACAAAACAACCAAGGCCGGCGCAGAAAAGGTGCCGCTGGGATGTCAACGGATCGCAATTCTCTGCAGCGGCGGCATCAGTGTGGTATGGACGGATGTGGGTGGGAGACGGTGGTGCTGCCTTCGGGTAGCGGCTTGGTGATATGCGTGGAGGGAGACGGGGACAAGGGATGTGGAGCAGTGAGGGAAGGAACAAGAATGCTCTACAAACAAATTTGTGGTGTGCCCAGGTGGCACCAAAATTGTGCTGGTGCTAATATACTACTCCAGCATGTCTGTGAGGACAAACTGGGAGATTCTGGTAGGAGAAAGTTGTTTATGGCAGTTTCTTCCCATGGCTTACCTGGTCAAATATAGTACTGCCAAGGTTCTGTAAGATAAGACCATTTCTTATTTCTTTCTTTTTTGCGGGAAAAGATAAGCCCATTTTCATGTAAAAAAAAATAGGTAAGACATCTTCCTTTTCTTTTTTTTTTCTTTTTTGATGTTGGAAATTTCCGTTTCTTTATGAAGAGATGAGATCATTTTCCTTTGCTGAAAAAATGTGAGAGAAGAGGGAGGCAAACCACGCACATATACACTTTCATGTGAATGCACACACGTGCAGCCTACCCCGTATGAGCATATTTGAGAGACTGAGTCAACGGATCTTGATATTGACAAAGTCATCACAAACGTCTCGTCACCTCGTACTAAAAGAATATCTTGACTTTATGAGACGTGCATGTGTCGAAAAACACGGTGTTTAATTTCTGGTGGGCTAGTGGATACATCCACCCTCCTAACCATCCAGCATCCAGATTTCGATCTCTCATCGTCTCCACCATCCTTTCCATACATCACGCGTTGGGAGGATTACGTTTCTTTCGTTTTAGGACCGTGTGTATTGTTGATTTTTATTACCTCTTTGCGTTGGAGGTGCTGTCACACAAGAGTAATACAATCCTCATGGCTCCATCCGCGTCTTTGTTGCACTATGACAAAAAAGTGGTGTCAAGTTTGTTTTGGTACATGGGTTCGGCAACCTATGTTGCAAGGGAAGTGTCCTGGTCAGGGTATATTACGGTTTGGCAACCTATGTTGCAAGAGAGGGTGTCCTGGTCAGAGCGCATCCAATGATGTATATACTTGTCACCTATCGGGGTCCACGACACGAAACCGTTAATGTTAGTTCAGTTTTTACCTTTTTCTTCTACAATAGGCACGGAGAAACGTCGAGACGCAAAAGGTGGAGCTACGAGGGACCATTTCGGATGACCATGATGTAAACTTTTGGTCTTACCGACAACCTTTGTTGTTCATACTTACCCCTTCGGTCCGCACAATGTAAAACGTTTTTGTAAGGTATGCTAGCTTACAAAAACATCTTGAATTGTGGGACGGGGAGTATTACTTTATCTTCAATCCGATGTGCACATGATACGATTATTAAGTACTACCTCTGTTCACTAACATAGGATGTTTTGGCAGTGAATAAAGACGGGTTTTTTTTTCTCAAAAAAAAAACAAGGTAGTGGCCATTTCGGAGTTGCCACCTAGAAGGTGATCTCTCATTTTTCCTATTTTGAGAGAGACTCTACTCTACTTGCACTAGCAGCAACCGGCCACCCGTCCATGAATTCGTGATGAGGAATGATTAGCCTCCCGGTGAGGGTAGTGTCACCATCCCATTGTCCCAAAAAGCATTGACATGCAACCAGTAACCATATCCACATTTATAATGCTGCCTCTTCTGAATGCTCACAGCACCGGCCTAACCAGCCAAACCCTTTGGGCTTTCCCGGTATGGGAACTGAATCTGAAACATGCCACTCTGGGCAACGGACCAAACCACCGAGCTCAAGAGGGTAAGCAGACAATAAATCTTGCAATGTACTGTACATTAACTAAATCTTGCTCAATTTGGCTGCTCCTAGTAGTATGTTGCTACAAAAGCAATGTTAAATGGGCCTAAATATGCTGCAGCAGCAGGCTAACACGGACACATATCGAGCTCCTCACAAAAGCAGATTTATGTTTTGACAGATTAAACAGGCAATTGCAACTCGGAGATAACAAATTTTTCGGCAGCATAACGACAGGAGGCAAATTCAGTGCAAGATAGATAGATAGATAACTTGTCTGAGATGAGTTCTTTGTAGCAACCAGGCCACAAGATCATCACTCATCTGGCACAACTTGGCAGGGTACACACCAATCCATTAGGAGATTATAGTTAAGGGTAGATGCAGGAGGTCAGACGCCTGCCTGCCAACGGAGATCTCATAGGATACAATTGGCTTGTTAATCTACATACAAAACTGTACAGGCTTTGTCGTAACCGATAAGGCGATGATGATACTCGCATCACCGTTACTAGGGTTCATCTTCCTGTCGGTGCCGCAACCAACCGTTCATCTGAACCATCATCGGAGGGCCGCCTTCTTCAGCCTTCCGAGTCTGCCAAACGCTATAATATTACCGGAGACTTCGCGTTCTTCTGAAGCTGTGACACTTCCTTCCCTTCCTGTTACAGTTCAGAGTGTCTCCTGAAGCTGTAATGGCTTCTCCGTTGCTTCTTCGCGACGTTCATTCCACGAGTACGTTCGGATCGGTGGGTGATCCTGGGGAGTAGGGCACGAACCCGCGCCCTCCGAACATCGGGCGCATCAGCGCGTCGTCAAACTTGCGCCAGTAGTAGTGGATGGTGTGGGTCGGCTTGGTGATGAGCATCCGGAGGCTGGAGGGCCTCACGATGGGGAGAGGCGCCTCCAGGTCCGAGCCTAGCTGGCTTGTGAGGAGAGGAGAGTGCAGGGACTTCGGTGACGCGGGATCTGAGGCGGCGCCATTGCTCGACGCGGGCAGTAGGAACCGGATCAGAGGCTTTGTCAAAATGCCAAACAACTGGTAAACACGATACATACATGATGTCAGATGGTTTCAGAACAGTCGGCACGTTCAGAATGGCCTCAGGTGATAAGCTGATACACTGCATTGGATAGGGATTGCAACATGAGATGGCTCACCATAGTGCTAAACAGAACGACAGTGATGGTGCTGGTGATCATTATCGCGTTGCCGTGCAGCTGTGTGTGACCAGATCTTGTAAACTGCAATTCCAAGGCAAAGTGTTAAGTTTCAAATACTATTCATGGCCTCTAATATGCGAAAAAGGTCTCCCGTATCTAATCCGTGGTCAAGAGGGGGAAAAAGAATTAGAGATAATGTGAGAAAGGGTTTAGAACCAACCTTATTGTAAGCAAGAGCGATCGACACAGCTCCTCTCATCAGCCCAGCCCACCATATTACGATCTATCAAAAGAAATTCAGTTATCAGATGTTAACTCGATCCAACTGCCAGATAGTCTAATGCAACAAAATACTCACTTGCTGCCTCCAGCTTATTTTTTCGAGCTCCGTCTTCTTTGTCAGGTTGGATAAGAACGAGAGCGGGAAGACGAAAGCAGCTCTTCCAACCAGAACCAACCCGAGCAAAATTGAGCTTATTCCAATGGATTTGCCGGGGCTGCAAGAAGAAAG